CTCAGTATTTACTGAGTCTGTATAATCGGATCTGGGAGCCGTCGTCAGTCCCTGAGGACTGGCTCGATGCTGTTGTCCTCCCTGTTTGCAAACCAGGGTCTCTGGGAACATCCCCTAAGGACTTTCGCCCTAATGCCCTCACATGTTGTGTCTGCAAACTCTTTGAACGTATGGTTAACATTCATCTGATATGGTTCTTGGAACACCATCACCTCTCCCCTTCTCAATTTGGTTTCCGCAAGTGCCGCAGCACAACAGATGTCCTGGTGAACTTGGAGGTCAATATTCGTCCTGCTTTTGCTGCGAAGACCTTCGTTGTTGCCGTTCTTTTTGACCTGGTAAAGGCTTACGACACCACTTTGCGATTTCATATTCTATCCCAGCTCATTCTTTTGGCCTTCGTGGTCATCTCCCTCTCTTTCTCCGCAGCTTCCTCGCTCGTCGTTCCTTTCGAGTGAGGCTTGGTACCGCTCTCTCTGCCTCTTTTCAGCAACACAAAGGAGTGCCCCAGGGTAGTGTTCCGAGCACTACTATTTTTCTGGTTGCCCTCAATAGTCTTCTTTCCTTTCTTCCTTCAGGCGTCTTCTCCGCTCTCTATGTCGATGATCTTACCCTTTGCTGTCAGGGTGATGATTCCCCTCTCCTACAACGCCGGCTTCAACTTGCGATTGATGCTGTGTCGTCTTGGGCCTCTGATCATGGCTTCAAGTTCTCTACTACTAAGACTTGTGCCATGACTTTTACTCAGAAACGGGTCGTTCTTCGTCCCTCTTTGTCACTTTATAGGCCTCCCCTCGTGTACAAAGATTCCGCGAAGCTTTTGGGGTTATTCCTTGACGCTCGTTTGTCTTGGTCTCCCCATATCTCTTACCTCCGTGTTGAGTGCTCTAAGGCCCTTACCCTCCTTCGGGTATTGTCCCATACTTCTTGGGGAGCAGATAGGTGCGCACTCCTCACTTTACATTTTTCTCTTGTCCTGTCTAAGTTCGATTATGGTTGCCCTGCTTACTTGTCTGCTTCTCCTTCTACTCTTCACTGTCTTGATGCTTTGCACCATACTGGGTTGCGCCTTGGTTCTGGTGCCTTTCGTTTGACTCTCTTCAAACGAAAGCTTGTATATTGACACTGGCTTCCTATCTCTCCGGGACCACCGTGATCGCTACTGTCTTCGCTATCTTGCCCGGTCCTTGCAACATCCTTCCTCTCGCCTCTGTCGTGTTTTAACTTTCATACCTCCTGCGGTTTCTGTTCCTCTTCACCACCTCCCTCTTTCTGTCCGGTTATCTCGCTTACAGGATCCTTTTCTGTTCATATTTCTAATATTTCTCCTCGTGTTGTTCCTTCTTTGCTTCCATGGAGAGTCCCTCTTCCGCAGTTTTGTACATTCTTGACCCACATCACTAAAGCTTTAACTCCTCCTACGGTTCTAAAACGTCTTTTCCTTGAGCACTTTTCTTCTCACTCTCGCTCCATTTCCATCTTCACCAATGGGTTAAAGTCTGCGGACGGTGTTGGTTACTCTTTTGTTTTTCCTGAGACATAAGGTAAGCGACACTTATATGTGTCGCTTACCTCCGGACTCTAGCATCTTCACAGCGGAGCTTTGTTATTCTTTATGCTCTTCGTCTCCTGCTTTTTTGTTGTCAATCTTCCTTTGTAGTTGTTGTTGACTCTCGTAGTGCCCTCATGGCTCTCGGGTCCTTTAATTCGTTTCATCCAGTGGTTGTCGAGATCCAGTATTGGCTGTTTCTTGTTCACAGTAAATTTAAGTTGGTTGAGTTTTGTTGGGTTCCCACCCATATTGGTGTCTCTTTAAATGAGCCTGCGGATGCTGCCGCCAGGGAAGCTGTCCGCTCCTGTCCAATTTCTCGTAAAGGTATTCCTTATTCCGACTTTTACCCGGTTATCCATTCCTCCATCCTTACCCGTTGGCAAGCTTGTTGGTCATCTGTTACTGGTAACACACTACATACTCTTTAAAAGTTGTGTGTTCTCGTAGCTGTCCTCTTACCACCGTAATCGGCTATGTGAAACGGCTCTGGCAAGGTTGCATATTGGCCATACTCGCTTAACTCATGGTCACTTGATAGAGCGCCGCCCTGCTCCTTATTGTCCTAATTGCATTGTCCCTCTTACGGTTGTGCATATCCTTGTTGAATGTCCTGACTTCCGGGACCAGCATGTGTCTTGTTTTCTGACCGTCCCCCGCGGTTGCTTGTCTCTCGATAGTATTCTTGGTGACTCGGATACTTTTGATATCGTTCGCCTTGTGCGTTTCTATTCTCGTATTGGCATCCTTGGTGATATTTAGCGCCCTCTGATTATCCCACACATTTGATGGTGCTACATAGCCTTCCCGGTTTAGTGCCTTCTTTCGATAATTACTTACTCCACCAGAGGTTATCTCCTTGGGAGGATGACTCATGCAGGATTATCATTTGAAATGACAACAAAAAAATCCAACATGATTCCACAAGAAAAGAGGCACAGGTATCTCTAGGAAATTTATAAAGAAGCCGGAAATGAACTAGCTCAAATCTACACTGACGGGTCATCTAATCCTGTCAATGGCAGGGTTGGTGCAGCATACACTGTAATTAAGAATAATGCTTTTCAATGCAAGTATGAAGAAAAATCATGTATTGAAAACTATGCCTCTTCAATGCAGGCAGAATTAACTGCCATCGTTATGGTGTTAAGATTCCTTGAACGAAACACTAATGGAGCAGTGATCTGCACTGATTCCAAAGCAGCACTCTAAAGCCTAAGTAAAAATCGGGCAGAAAATCTTGCGATAGTCTGTTACATGAACTCATGCTTGCTCTGAGGGTCAGTGCGTAAGGTGATGGAGTTCTAATTCAGTGGGGTTAGGCAAGGCCCGGCCCCCCAGGGAAAAAACAATTCCCAGAAAGTATTAATCACTGTAAATAGTCTACAATCTAGAGAGATTAACCCCCCACTATAACAAGGTAAGAAGAATACTCCGGTGAAATCTTAATTATATAATTTATTAACCCTAATACCCCCCCAAGCACAATCAATACCTTACCACCTCGATCATACATTATTTCCCTGAATCCACATAGGCAGGAGACGAGGGCTACAAAAAGCAGTTCTAGGGTTAAGGTTTACTTTTCTTAAGGGCAGAACACAACACTTGGTAACTTTACTCCCATGTGGTCCCAATAGGCCACCCCAGAGCACTTGGGGCTCAAAACACTGGTCTATAGGACACAACAATTTACTTAACACTAGTAACGGCGCGGTACATAAACAGCTACTTATCTTGGAAGTTACAGAATAAGGGGAACCTCTAGGATACTATTAGGAGAAAGCGCCAAGCCATTATGACTATAGAGCACTTGGAAGGGGTCAGGAGAATGATTTGGGATTTGACAAAGGGGGGGGGGAAGGAATGGTGCCCAATCACTCGGACGGTCGGGGATTACGCCGACCTGCATGAAGCGAGACTGCCGCTCTACCGTCCAGCCCAAGTGGTGGGGCATATAAGGGGAAGAGAGGAAAAGGGGAGTAACCAGCCACACGTCCAGACCGCTTGAACACTCAGTCGAGAAGGAAGCTAACTCCCCCATGCGTGGTTGCTACCGAGTCAGTTAACTGAGCGTACAGTAACAATTACTAGTCTTCCAAGACAAACCTTTACATGCTACTAAAGCTAGTATCTAGCTTTACATAATAATAATAATAATAATTTATTTTGGAACAGTACATACATAGTTGCAACGTTACAGTACAAACATTCTGTTAGATTTAAAGATAGAGGTAGTACATACAATACCTAAGCCTCTAGTACGCATAGCGTTTCGGGCAAACTTTATACTAATATTCAATTAGCACAATGCAGGACCAGCTCTGTGAGCAACAACGTTATTCCTACGTCTGGCAGGGAAGTGGAACCATCAACCAGGTTGAGCACTTATGGACTCGTGAAACATAAGTGTAATACTTAAATTCCTTCATAACCCAACCTTTCAATTAATATTCTATAATTTACTTAATAAAAACCTACACATAATCCCAAACAGTCAGGGCCTATCATTACAAATACAGAGAGTGCATGGTACCTGTAAGTATGTAAACAGAGGCGTTCCTTGGCAGTGCCAATTAAGGTGCCAGCTACGAACCCAGTGTCGTAACATATTTGCTGAAATTAAGAGAGCTGTAAGGGTACTAACCAACCAGGAAAAAGTCGTCAAGTGTCTGTGGATCCCCTCCCATGTTGGAATATGTGGAAATGAACGAGCAGATGTGCTGGCTGCTGAAGGTGACCATATTGAATACTTCATACCCAAGACTCTTCTACAAATTAGAGGTATTGTCAGGCAACATCACCGTGACAAGGTAACTAAGGAAAGGAGGATAGAACAAATCAGCGAATTTGTCCGATGGCACAACATGGTTGCAGCTGGCAATCCCAATCATAATGGACGAAGAGGAGGTGGCCGCGGGAGAGAATTAGTAATAACGAGAATCCGCCTTGGATACAAATATCCATGGAGATTCGAGATGGAAATAACAGTTGAGCAGCGAAGTTGCAGAATCTGTGATGAGAGTGACGGACACCGCCTTGATCACTATATAGGTGAATGTGAACACCTCAGAGACATTAGAAATATGTGTAGAATAATAAACCCCACATTGTTTGAGTTAGGAAAACACTGTCAAATATAGATACTGTTCTTAAATAATTCCCCCATTTTACACCCACAAGATAACGTAAGATTTTAAGGGTTGACAGATGTTAATCATCTTGTTTTCAGGAGCTGTTCACTTGAGACAGTTAAGCAAGTCCCAGCTGTGTCTGGGTACAAGAGACAGGATGAACAACCCAGCGGGTTTTCTTCCTATTGGGGAGTGTAGTACATGCTGCTCTGACGGTGTGTCCTTTCACTGGATGAGTGGCGCTGCCCAATAAACTCAGCCCTAGGGGCAAAATTTAAAAAAAAATACTAGCAGCGGATTCACCAGCCACTTCTAACTTATCTACCATCTCTAAGATGTTGCCAGCCGCACCTCTTGTGGTTTGGGCGGGTGGAGCCACCCTGGGGCGGGTAGAGGCACCCTGGGGCGGGTAGAGGCACCCTGGGGCGGGTAGAGGCACCCTGGGGCGGGTAGAGGCACCCTGGGCGGGCGGAGCCACCCTGGGCGGGCGGAGCCACCCTGGGCGGGCGGAGCCACCCTGGGCGGGCGGAGCCACCCTGGGCGGGCGGAGCCACCCTGGGCGGGCGGAGCCACCCTGGGCGGGCGGAGCCACCCTGGGGCGGGTGGAGGCACCCTGGGCGGGTGGAGCCACCCTGGGGCGGGTAGAGGCACCCTGGGCGGGCGGAGCCACCCTGGGCGGGCGGAGCCACCCTGGGCGGGCGGAGCCACCCTGGGCGGGCGGAGCCACCCTGGGCGGGCGGAGCCACCCTGGGCGGGCGGAGCCACCCTGGGCGGGCGGAGCCACCCTGGGCGGGTGGAGCCACCCTGGGCGGATAGAGCCACCCTGGGCGGGCGGAGCCACACTGGGCGGGCGGAGCCACACTGGGCGGGCGGAGCCACCCTGGGCGGGCGGAGCCACCCTGGGCGGGCGGAGCCACCCTGGGCGGGCGGAGCCACCCTGGGCGGGCGGAGCCACCCTGGGCGGGCGGAGCCACCCTGGGCGGGCGGAGCCACACTGGGCGGGCGGAGCCACCCTGGGCGGATAGAGCCACCCTGGGCGGGTGGAGCCACCCTGGGCGGGTGGAGCCACCCTGGGCGGGTGGAGCCACCCTGGGAGGGCAGAGCCACCCTGGGCGGATAGAGCCACCCTGGGCGGATGGAGCCACCCTGGGCGGGTGGAGCCACCCTGGGCGGGCGGAGCCACCCTGGGCGGATAGAGCCACCCTGGGCGGATAGAGCCACCCTGGGCGGGTGGAGCCACCCTGGGCGGATAGAGCCACCCTGGGCGGGTGGAGCCACCCTGGGCGGGTGGAGCCACCCTGGGCGGGTGGAGCCACCCTGGGCGGGCGGAGCCACCCTGGGCGGATAGAGCCACCCTGGGCGGGTGGAGCCACCCTGGGCGGGTGGAGCCACCCTGGGCGGGTGGAGCCACCCTGGGCGGGCGGAGCCACCCTGGGCGGATAGAGCCACCCTGGGCGGATAGAGCCACCCTGGGCGGATAGAGCCACCCTGGGCGGGTGGAGCCACCCTGGGCGGGTGGAGCCACCCTGGGCGGGCGGAGCCACCCTGGGCGGGTGGAGCCACCCTGGGCGGGCGGAGCCACCCTGGGCGGGCGGAGCCACCCTGGGCGGATAGAGCCACCCTGGGCGGATAGAGCCACCCTGGGCGGATAGAGCCACCCTGGGCGGATAGAGCCACCCTGGGCGGATAGAGCCACCCTGGGCGGATAGAGCCACCCTGGGCGGATAGAGCCACCCTGGGCGGGTGGAGCCACCCTGGGCGGGCGGAGCCACCCTGGGGCGGGCGGAGCCACCCTGGACAACCAGCATAAACACATCATTGTTAACCTATAATTACTGGACAAATGGAATGAGCTTCAGGAGAGGATAAGTTTTAAAGTGGATATGATTGAGGCTATAGTTCGTGAGTCGTAGTATTAGACGAACGACAGGTGAAAAGGCGTGGCCCATGAGCTGGTGCCCGGCCCTGCAGACCAATACACACGCATCATACACACAAACAAGAACAAACGATCGTACCGCAAGATACGAACCTGCTCCAATATAGACGTCAATACGGCAGCCGCAGGACCTGGCTCCACCCTAACTTTTCCCACATTCCTTTCACGCTGGAGAAAGTGAGGATGATGTGTAGTAATAGATGCTTGCTCTCTCTCTCTCTCTCTCTCTCTCTCTCTCTCTCTCTCTCTCTCTCTCTCTCTCTCTCTCTCTCTCTCTCTCTCTCTCTCTCTCTCTCTCCCCCCCATCTCCCTCTCACTTCTTTTATTATTTTTTGTAAACAAAGACTAGGGTTCATAAGGACTGTCGTATAACGTGCTTAGTGAAACTGCAAGCAAGACCTGTTATCCTCTCTCAGCTCATCTGAAGCCTGTTCATAGGAACTCACTAATTTTATGAGCCTATTATATGCACCATTAAAAATAACCTTTATTCATTAATTATCAGTCATATAAGGAACAGGATGAGCCTGTAGCCAGCTGTGCCACAGCCTTCATGTGATCAATTGACCTGCTCTCCCGTTTATCAAGCTGCTAATTGAATAAGTTCCAGTTGCGAGTCAGCCTAGGAGTGAATGATCGCTGGAGTGATGTTCTTGAGAAAGGCATTTCCAGTATTAAAGGTTGAGAGCCTAGTGCTACGGGTGGCAACTACTGGTTGTCCACGGAGTTGGGTCAGGTTCGGAAGTTTGAGAATGTTGGCCGTGTATATAACAGTATGACCACCAACGTCACGACGGTATTGCTGGCTCTTAGGTTCAGACCGTTCCCACCAGACTTGGGGGAGTTCTCCCCGGAGCCAGGGGACTGGTGGGAAGGCAGTGGGTCGCTGTGGTGTACCTGGCCCCTGATTCCCCTCGTGTATAAAATAGTCCTCCTTCCCCACAATCACGGAATGCAAGAAGAAATTCTGAATGTGCAGAATGGACTGCTGATGGGGTCCTCTTGCTCCTCGCGTTGACTGTGTGCGCCTGGCATTCCCAGCTGGAACAACCACCCACGATAAAGTGATATGGTTCGAACGACTTTCTAAAGATTTTTCCAAAACAGTACTCGATTTAGTCGGCCTTGGGGTAACATCCCTTTACATCTATGTGTCACGCAAGCAAGAAGATATCATCACTCGACTGGTTGAAGGTACGATTGGTAATCATACCAGAGAAGACATCATCAATCGCCTTACAAAATTTAAGGAATATCTTGTTACCAGTTTTCCCAAAGAGTTTCCTGTTGATAGAGCTTATAATCTTGAAAGGATCTACAAGGCAAGACGAATATATAAGGACGGTGAACCTCGCAACAGGAAGCAAAGCAAACAAGCAAAGATACAGAAGAAATTGACTGGTTTAAAGAGAAAATTATTGAATTGGAAATTAAAATAAAAACATTAGAGACAAATCTGGCCGGTGATAGTGGTGAAGTGAGTCATGCCAGCGATAGTGATAGTGTAAATACTCCCAGCACCAGTAGTGATGCGAGTGGTAATGTTGCAGCTGTTGAGGCTACTCCACCCAACCCTACAGTACATGAGTGTAAATCTCCATGGGAAATGGTGTTAGTCATTGATCCCTCACTGACACCCCCCACTAGATCATGATGAAACCCTTGAGGTGGTTACAAATAGAGCGTTTAGGAAAACACCAACTGCTACTCTGGTGAAATGCATCCTAAGCAAAAGTAATATTACTCAGTACACACGAGACAAAGTTGGTTATGATGTACAAGTGTTTAACAAGCTTAAATGTTACCTTAATTCCCTTGATACCTAACCATGGCTCATCAAACAAAAACAATTAAATTTCTTTCTTGGAACATTCGAAGTGTTTATTTTCGGATAAATGAGGTAATATTGTATGCTAAAATGAGAGACGTGGATGTGATGTGTTTACAGGAACCATATACGTCCACAACTATCAAGAAGGTCCCACCCAGGATACCTGGGTATATAGCATACAACAACAGTATTGGAACTGGTTTACTCACGTATGTTAAGAGTGGATTAATAAGTAATCTAATTAAAAATCATAGGAGTGATAGTATACATTATCAAAAATTCAAATTACAAACTGCAAATAGGCATTTCCTACTGTATAACATATATGGAGGATGTAGTGTACTTAAAGCAGACCTGCTACCGACACCTACAGGTAACACAGCTATGTTATGTATGGGTGACTTTAATGCTCGTCACACTGCTCTTGGTGACGTTCAGTGTAACAATAATGGAAGCGTCTTCTTGAAATATCTTACTATTCATAATATTACTGTGTATGATACTGATAAACAGACTCATGTATTGGGGGGGTAGGCTAGATTATGTGATTGGATACAGCCTAGCATATAGCAACGTCAACGTTAAGCTCATCCCAGAACTAGTAAGTGATCATTTTGCAATATATTGTGAATACAATGTAGCGGATATTAGGTCCAATCCTCATCCTAGGGTTAGAATTAATAGTCCACACAATCTTAAACCACACTTTAAGGCTTATGTACATAAGTGGTACACTGGATATTCACCTGTATCAGTGGACCACTTTTACAATGATCTTGTCAGTATCATTACCGGTTATTATGATACCTGGGTTAAATTAAGGAAAAAAAAGAACACTCGTTCTTCTTCATGGACAGAGGATCCTATTATTATTGCAGAGCGAGCTAAAGTGCTTCAGCTGCTGGCTCTTATAAACGAGACAAACAGCTGACAATTTACTTGCATTCCTCAATGCCAACAGAGATTTTCGGGAGCTTAAGGGTGACGTTAAGGACCTGCCCGAACGCTTTGCGTAATAGTGGCTTTAGGCATTGTATGTACTAGCTCTATCTATAAATATATCAATTTTTGTAAAACCTCTTGTATGTATGTACTTTACCTGAATAAACATTTATTTATTTATTTATTACATACATTGGGAACAATTCCTACAAGGTATCAATAGAACCACAAAATTATCGGAAATGTGGAATAAAATTAAAAACATTACCAAACCTTCAGCCCCAGTTCAGCTTCATCATACTCCTGCAGAATATGCTGACATGCTCTTAGCTCAATGGTCTAGTGTGTCATAAATTTCTTCCTTGCCCCCAGATATACAGCAGCATTTAAACAATACCAACATTAACAGAATTTTTAATATTGAAATGGCACGTTCCTCAGCAGATTTAACGGTTCAGTTTGCTATAATCCCTTTTGAATTGACATCAGCATTAAGGAAACCTAAACAAACTGCCCCTGGTGAGGATGGTATAACTTATAACATCTTGAGCTTACTGAATGATGTCCCTAGCCACCCTCTGCTTAACCTCTATCAAATGAGCCTTTCACAAGGTATCTTGCCAAAGAAATGAACACAGTCTCATAGTACCAATTCTTAAATCTAACTCTCAAAAATTCAGACCCATTTCCCTTACATCTTGCATGTGTAAAGTCTTGGAGAGAATTGTTCTTAATCGTTTCATGATTCAGGTCAAAGAAAAACTGGCTCCGAACCTATATGGGTTCATGCCCAAGTGTAGCACACAAACGTGCTTTGCTAAATATTTTGTACACTCCCAGGATGGGATACAGGGAGCCTTTTTTTTTTTTACTTAAAGTTAGCATTCGATGTAGCGAATGGCGAAATAATATTTGAGCAACTTGCTGAATTTGGAATCAAAGGTAATCTTCTGAGTTGATACAGAGTTACCTATCCAACAGGCGGGCTTGTGTCCTATTTTAAGGAGTTAAAAGTACAAGAACAGATGCATTCGAACTAGGCACACCTCAAGGTCGTATCCCAAGCCCTATGTTCTTTAATATACTTGTGCACAAACTTATCCATAACATACCTGTACAACCTAATAAAACTGTTATATGTTATGCTGATGATATTCGTATTATGGCACACAGTAAACCAAGGCTACAAGTATTATATCCTAGAACTGTCAGAATTGTTAACATGAGAAAGGACCTAAAATTCCATTCAGCCTATGGAATATTTGATGGCTCCGCACCTCTGATGGTGCTTTACTTCCGCAACTTTACTGATGGCTCTGTGCAGTTAGGCACTGGCAGAACAGGTTGTGCATGTGCAATATATAAAGGGTATGAAATGATGATGTCTAGGACACAGAGCTGAACAACTGGGCAAGCACGACACAGACCGAGCTATTGGGCATTTATCTAGCCACTGAATACCTTAAGCTCAATGGTGGTTCGCTCTTGATGGGAGCGAACTTGTGCATTCATTCAGAGATATTCTGTGACTCTAAAAGTGCTCTGCAGTCCATAAATAACCCATCACAATGTATGTCTGAAGCAGCTTGTAATATTAAATGGAATGTAATTTTTGGCAATGATAATAACTATTGTATAAAATTTGTGTGGATCCCATCCCATGTTGGAGTTGGAAAACATGACTTTGTAGATCGATTGGCCAATGAGGCTTGCAGGAAAGAAAAGAATGATTATGACTTTGGACTATCTAATGCAATTATTAGTAACATACAAATTGAAGAAATTAATTCAGATTTAGAAGAACTATGAAATGCCCAGAGACCTGAAAGCTGCAGTATTAAAAGCTATGACAACTTTTGTAATAACTGGTATTTGTATGGTCAGCACAGTAACCGGACCAGGCAATGTGATGTAGTCATTGCGGTAATGCACCTTGGCTATAGACACTTCTGGCAGGTTAGTGAGGCTGAGCCACTACCAGAGTATTCAGATTGCAAACTCCGTGACAAACCTTTAATGCATTCACTAGAATGTCTGTCTATTGTTGAATGTGAAACCGTAAAAGATTTTAGACCTCCTGGCCTCTTGTACCACCA